AAAGATCATCTACTGCTAACAAAGCCAATCCCAAATTAAAAAAAAAAAAAGTACATTGCTTGAACAAAAAAAAATCACCTTTCGATAAGTTGTGTCATCATGCTCGATTGGTCACCCGGCCTACACACAGAGGGCTTTGAGCACCTCATTAGAGTCGCCGTGTTTTGGGAGATTGTAATTCCCCTGCGCCCTAAGCCCCGCGTAAATATTCGCCACAATCGCCCTCTGCCGCCTCTCTCCTCTCCGATTTTTCTCTCTCCGACGCAACGACGACTTCCTCCGCCCCGACGCGGCGCCGTCGGCCGACTCCATTTTTAACCTGTTTAGGACATCATTATTTTCCCTTGGATCTGCTCCTGGAAGGTGGATCTGGATGAAGGAGGCGGTGGATACGGATTTGCCGGTCGATATGTATGGGGAGGCGATATATGTATTCAACGAGGAGCTTTTTAATGGAAAAAGAGAGAGACGGCGGCGATGAAAATCAGAGAGAGAGAGAGAGAGAGGAACGAGAGAGTTGCAATTTTTTTAATTTTTTATAATTTTCAACCAAAATAAAGGAATAATAATAATATTGATATTTATATGGGGAGTGAAAAGAAAAGATAATGTACTGACAGGGAGTGCAGAGGAAGAAAAATAAGTTGGGGACTGACAAGGAATTTGATTTATCTATTAGGGATTTTGGAGGAATTTACCGTTCTTTTAATTTGTGGGACAAAATGTACAATAACTAATAAAAATATACTACAATATCATATGTGTTTGGACAGAATACCAGAGATTTGATTATTCAGTGACATTTGGCTCCTTAATCAAATAGTATCGAAATATATATATATATTTATATATATATATATATATATATAATAAATTGATGGTAAAACTGTTAAATACAACCAATAACATATTTTTTTCCAATAGTTTTTTTACATCAGTAGAAAAATTTACCAATTAGTTATAAAATATGTTCACTAACTGATGTGTATGGGTAGAATATTCACAATTAACAAAAATTACCTCATAACGCCAATATTAATGTGCTAATCATAAAAAAAAAAATATGCAAGAAATTGACGCCTAATTTTTTTAGAGTATTGATTAAAAAAGTTTAATTTTATTTATTTATTTATTTTTTTATTTGTGATGAGTTGTGACACATCACGAATAAAGTATTTTGTGATTTTTTTAGAATATTGATTAAAAATAGTTTAATTTTAGTTATTTTTTTTTTTTTTTATTTGTGATGAGTTGTGACACATAACGAAACTGATGGAGTATTTTGTTATTTATTGAACATGGCGATGCATGTATTGGGATGGTGAGAATGGACAAGAACATTTATAGTGAGAGCCAAACTTAATTAACTCACCCACAGCATAATTTGTAATGCATTGAACTTTTTAACACTGTATCATCTCATGTGAGCTGACTACAAGTTAGTCACAATTGGATGTGCCCACAAACAAGTTATTTATAAGTTATTCTTCTATATGGCTAGCTAACTATTAATCTATTTGATATTTTTTGCCACAACCTTCCATTGTATTAGTTAAATATACCAATAACATTGACATCCACATCTTAACTCAATTTGTGATATATATATATAGGACATTGATTCTTTCATACATTTTAGGTTTAATAATTAAAACCTCTCAAGTCTTTATTTTTTTTTTTTTTTTTTTTACTTATGTCAATTGTATTTCTGCGGACAAGCGCTAATTAGATTTTCTATTTCATCGTTTTCATATTTCATTTGGTGGTTCATTTCATTGGATGATCATCGTATCACGCTTGCTATCGATAATGTACTAATTATACACACTCGTTCATCTAATCTGGCAGAATTAAATATGAAACAGAATCCAATCTTTTCTCAAATTACATAAACATCACGATCTTTTCATTTTCTGCTCAGAATATCACGACCTTTCGTTTATCTGCATAATGCTGCACAAATTTCAAAAACCAACTATCGACGCTTATGCTTTTGTACTCGTTTTTTTTTATAAATTACTAAAATATATTTGTGTATAATTTTGCAAAGAGAAATGAAATGTTGTACTATTATGAGAAAAAAAAAAAAAAAAAAA